TTGGGCCCCTTATTTGGGCCTTCACCTTGATTCGTTCAATTGGATTTCGTTCTTTGGGCTATCTGATTTGGGGATCCTCCAATTGGGCTTTACTCTTTGGGCTGTTCGATTTGGGCTGAATTTTTATGTGTCAACAGGTATAGGCTATATAGCCCACGAATATTGCCAAGGATCTGTATGAGGTGCTAGTGAATTTTTTGGGGATTGCTAATTACTACCACTTTGGATCTTTCGTGCTTTTGCAAAGCAACTTTGTTCTTGAATTACTTTCACGGGTAAAATGGTAAGTTTCGTATCATACAACTATTTTAACCTCACTAAAAAAGAATTTGTCTAGCTATAGGTACGTTGTCTAAGATTGAAGTTGGAGTTGCAAAAGTGGCAACAACATTGGGAGAATCAACCGTTCCTGAAATCGTTCCTTCAAAAAGCCAGCATGAGAGTAAAAGATAGACCTGATAACCATTACATCACACCTATGATGCACCAACACAGACACTTGTGTCCGATACGATACGTGTCAGATACGTCGACTCGTGATTTTTCAAAAAAATACCGATATGACATGTCGTCGACACGTTCATTAAATTCTTTAAAATTCTTCATTTATATAGTTTAGATTTAGTTTTATACTCATTATTTATTTTTCTTATTGAAATTTTTTAGATATGAGTACTTATTTGTTATTTACTAATAATTTTGAGTTAAAAAATATATAATAGCTATAGTAAGAAAGAAAATTGATTATTGTGGAGTGTCCAAACAGTGTCGATATCAACACGTGTCCGACATGAACACGCTATTCTAATTAGAGTATCCATGCTACAAAGCATCACAGGTTTGCAAAATTTCACACCTAATCTTTAGCGCACGTTTGTTGGCAACATGAATTTCAAGATTGATATATATGAGCCCCCTCTCTTGAGACAAATTAAATATACGAAGAAATCATCACCACAGTAGAAGATAGTGGAAGATGCTGGAGTCTATTGGGGCACCTCCATTCTGAAGTCTTCTAGGATAAACGACTAATTTTTTATGATTAATCTAAAGTTCATCATCAACATTGCATAAATACATGTATGAATGAGTGGCGAAGTGCTAGTCAATTGAGAGAGTGAAGTGTGCAATTAGTTTTAAGCAAGGTGAGTTTTTGTATTTTAAATAATATATTAATGAGGTAGTGGTATAGGTGTCAACATAATCACATTGTTTAAAGTGATTAATTTGCATAATAAAATATTAATGTTTGCTATCAAACTCAATAATTTGGTATTAGAGCAAGGTGGTTGAGTGGTGCGGAAGCATTAATAATTCTTGTAATAAGAATTGAAATAAGAAATAAATTGGAATAACTTGTTTTCTATTGATTGAATAATAATTAATGTTATTAAAAATGTGTATAATGCCTTTGTATATTTATAGGCAAAATTATTCCCTAATCCTATTAATATAAGGAAACTAAAATAAGGAAACTAATAAAAATCCTAATCTAAAACAAATTGGAAATCCCATTCTAATAAATAAATAAATAAAATCATATTCTAAACAATATATTAGAATAAAAAGATAAAATATATTACAAATAAACATTTTATTATAATTATCTAACATTTGTCCTATTTACAATAGGATTATCCTTCATCATTCTCTCCCACTTGAAAAAAAAAAAATCATCCTCAAATCTGGTTTAAAAAAAGAAAAAAGAAAATCAATCAATCGGGAGGAAAATACTTAAAAATTTCTATCAATACTGTTATTGATGAAATTTCAATTTCTTGATATGCTCGATAGACGTTATATTCTTCGGTAGCATTGTTTGAAGTTAATTTTGTTCCTACCATGCTCATTTTATTTTCTTCAACGATGATTCCTACGTGACATTCCTTCATAAATGAATCATGATTTGATTTCTCATCCTCGAGATCGCTCTCAATAGAGGCCACTGATGCTATTTTTAATTCTTCACACTTCTCATTTTTTGCCGTTATGTCTATAGATACCCTCTTCAATAAAAAAGAAGTGGCATCGGACTCAAATCTTCATAGTCTATATTTTTCTTATTTTTATACAATTCTTTGGCATTGAAACTGTGGAAAAGGTTAACTAAAAATTTTATTATCAATTTGACAAGCGTCACCTTTGATTTTTTTCGTGATTGAAAATTTTAATTCCTTCTTCTCTTATTGAACACTTTTGAACTTCAACTTGTTCATCATTTGAGTCTTGGTTGTTGCCTCTTTGCCAATTTTCTTGCTTGCCTGGTTGCTCTTCCACAGGTTCATGATTCTTCTCAACAGTCACTGCAATCAACAGTAGAATCTTAAGGTACATAATATAAATTATTGATTATGCACTCTTTTACAAGAAAAATAAAGATTGAAAGGTTGTTGGCTAGTGTAAATCGGACTACACTAGATATCGAAATATACGAAGATCCGTAATTGTATACATGTTTAGTCTTGGGTCAGCTAGTGTCATGGTGTAATAAGAGACAACAGACAGTGCCCTTCAACTGCAGAGGCGGAATACAAAGCAACAACAATGATAGCTCAAGAGACTACATGACTAGTCCAGTCAATGAGAGATCTACATCATCCGATGAGCTATGCAGCTCAACTATATGATAATCAATTTACCATTTGCATAATCAACTATATGACTAGTGTGTCATGCAAGAACTAAGTACTTAGAAGTATACAATCACTTCATCGAAGAAAATGTGCTTAAAGGGGAGATCGACTTGAAACACATCAACACCAAAGAACAAATGACATACATGTTGACAAAAGTAATAAGCGCTTCAAAGTTCGAAGAGTTTCGAGCACAAATGGAAATGATAAGAGAAGAATTAAATAAGAAAAGTCGATGTTGAATGGGAGAATTGAAGGAATCATCATGAAGAAAAAATTGTAAGATACAGGAATCTATTGGGTCAACTCCATTTTAGTTCTTTAGGGCTTGTTAGATAATGATTATGAGAATTGATTTTTTTATCATTAGAGGGGAAAGTGGGCTCTACTTGTGAGAGAAGAAGTAAAATATGACATTTACCTTAGGGAAGTAACGGTCAAAAAATTAATTTTTTTGGGTAAAAAATCAAAAAAATCAAAACCAAACATGCTCTTAGAATAATGACTAGTTTGCTTCCACTGCGACAATATGATAAATTTAGAAGGTCCTAAAAGACTAATTTGCTTCCACTGCCATAATATGAATAATTTAGAAGGGTCGTCATTGTCATCGTACTAATTTATAGTTCATGCATGATAATGCATGTACGAATGAGTGGACAGTGAGTCAATTGAGAGAAAATGGTGAGGTTTTACAATTAGTGGAAGTAAAGTGATTATATTTCATTAAATAATATATCAATGAGATAGCTGTGCGCATGTATAAAGTGAATTTGTTCATAAATAAGCTATTATTTTTTCTCTCAAATTCAATGATTTGGTATAAGAGGAAGGCGATCAAGTGAAGGATTTTTGTGCTTTTGGAGATCGTGCACAAATCGAGATCGTAAGAGCATTTTCAAGAGGCTATTTAAACATAAGACACTCTATATTTTAAAAAATCAACCCTTCAAATTATATACCAATAGACTGTTTAAATTAACATTTTAAAATAAAGATTGAGTTTGGCTCTCCAAATTTAGAGAATCAAACATATTATCTATAATTAACTTCATTCAAAAAGTTTCAATTTTCAATGTAAAAAATAATATAATAATTTGGAAGGAATCTAGTTAAAATAAAAGACCAGAAAAAATAATAAATACTTTTTGGGAGCAGTAAATTAAGAGTTAAATATAAAGAGTCTATTGGAATACTTAAAAAAATTTACTCTCTAAATTAATAAATACTTTCTAATTTATAAAATATTTTTGTAAAAAAATAGATTCTCTTGAAAATGCTCTAAAGTTTGCCTGATAACGAGGAGGTAGCCAAGTCATAATAGATAACCTACAAGTGATAGGTGGAATTAAGACGTTCAACAATCAAACTGACACATGGCAAACATGCATGGAGTAATAGTTCCAAGGGCAAAACTTGCGGACATAGTAGGTAGTAGTGACATAACATTCCTGGAGGCCGTTGGAGGTATGAAGAATGGAAGATTAGAGTATGTAACGCTATGTTTGCTATACAACAATTAAAGAAGAATTATTGAAGTGCACAAGGATAAAAACACGCTAAATGAAGTATGGGACACATTTGCAGTACTGTTTTCAAAGAAAAATTAGCTAGGTCACATGTTTAAGAGAACGAGTTACTCTCTATGACTCACGAGAAAATGATGGTAAACCAATATTTTACAAGGTAATACCTCTCTATCACAAAATCTCTTAATTAAATTCTATGATTAAAATTTCGAAGTCTAGGATGATAAAAACAATTATGCATGAATTGATACCGACTTAAAGACTCTATTGCCACTATACAAGGTTAACTAGAGCAACTATCATTAGTAATTTTTTTCAAAATACGCTCTTAGTATACCGTACTGAACATATTATTTCAGTGAATACATTGTAATGTATGTAAAGTCAAAATCTTGTAATGCTTTGCGCATTGTACAGAATCTTAGGTTTTGTAAAGTCAACTGTTTCAACCATTGAAGAGAAAGGACTAAGAATTATATCCCGTAATACATAACCCCTTTCAGATAAAATTTTAGCAAAGATGAAGGGATCAAAACTTAGAAGTATTTTTCCCATAGAAGAGAAAGGAAATCGAATTAGCAGACAATTTGTGTTTGTAATCGATTCATGCTTTTCATCGAGTATCTCTTTCAAAAATAATTAAAACTACAAAGTCCTTTAAACATTTACTATAATGGTATTAAGAATTTAATGGGACTGGGTTGTGTCTATTTTCAACATTTGTGGTTGAAACTACCTGGTACCTAACATCTTACCTCGGAGCATATGTACAATGCATGGACCCCGTTCGTTTATATATATATTACTTGTCCTAATAACTTCTTCACATGAACACGACCAATACATAAAACTTCAAGAACTCGCTCTTTCTCATCTCAAAAACGAGTGGCAATTTCTTCCTTCTGCAGAATCCATCTCAATATCACGGCTTGAATGGTTGCCACCATCAGTTTTTTCATGCTTCCTACTTCATCTTCTTCTGCGCCTAATCATTTCGAACAATCGTCTCCATTTCCATGCTTCCTTTTCATCCTTTGGTTCTCATAAACAAGCCTGGTTGGCATCGACCTTGATCCTTGAACACAATTCACAACAAGATATCATTTTCTTCCGCTTAATTTTCTCAAGTATCATTAATTATAATTGGATAAAAGAAAATCCGAAATATGGATATGAGAACGAAGAAATCCATTTCCAAAAAGAAGAAAAATAATGATGGTCAGAATATGAAAACGAAGAGAAATAGATTCTTGATTATTATCAATGTATTTGGGAGTGCAGGGCCAGTAAGATTTATTGTGAATGAAGATGATAATGCTGCAGCGGTGGTTGAGACTGCTTTAAAATTATATGCTCGTGAGGGCCGCCTTCCAATTCTTGGTTCTGATGTCAACAGTTTCTTTCTCTACCCTGCCAATGCTGGATTGGACGGTATAATTAAACACAGCTCTTTTGCTCAAATTTATTTTCCTACATGACTCACATGCATAATTTCTTTACTTAACAATTAACATTATTTTGTTGCTTTGATTATAAGTAAATCCATTTTATTCTCATATAAATAGGAGCCTACATGTACTTTGAAGTTCATAAATGTATACTCTTTCAAAGGCTTGGTTTGATTGTTTCAGTTCTTTGTCCAACGGTGTCAATAGGATCGAGTGGATTAAGGAACTTCGTTTTGTGCAAGAAGCAAATCAATCCACACGAGTGAAGCAAGGTCAAAGGTTATTACTCAAAACGGAGGAGGATGGCGTGCGTGGCTCCCGAAATCCATTAGTCCGTGTTTGGTGGGGGTTTAAAATTTGATAAAAGTTTAAGTCAAAGTCAATTATTAATTTTAACCACATGTTTAATCTGATTTATAACTTATTTACTAAAAATCTATTAGTTGTACCAAACAAGAACTTAATTTTAAAATATTATCTCATTGAAATTGCTTTATTTACTCTCTTGGGCTCCTGTAGCTTGTTTAAAAAAGTGTATTGTACATCCACTGGATGATAATAAAGAATAAAAATAGATGAAAATATTATGCAATCCCATCTTTGTAAAAGTGTGTTGTAATGTGGAGAATTTTTATGGATGTAATGTGAAATTTGTATTCAAGTGCACAACTTTGAATTATTTGATCCTACACGATTTTTTGTTTTATTTTTTGTTCCTCAATTTCGCCTAACGTGGCATTTAAGTTCCACTAATTTTGTTTTTTGAAGGGGGTGGTTTAAGCACTTGTGACAAATTTTATAAGAAATTCGTCTTATCTAATCTAATGTTTCCGTACAAAATAAATGTTAAAAAATATTAAATGGGTAGGACCAATTAGTACAATTTACGTAGACAAATAAATAATTCTCATTGCACGTGTCAATCATGGAAAGGTCCAATGGTTCTAAATCAAAATTAACAACAAAATGTTAACTTGGGAACCAATGCTTAGAATGACAAAAGTGCTATGTGGAACCAAATTTCTATCGATAAAACAGAATATTTTCCAAGATTCAACACTATTGGATAATAGTCCTTTTAAGAACTATTTTCCCAGCTTTCTTTTGTTAAACTTTATTTAAACAATAAGCATAATAACTTTTTACAAAGCAGAGGCTCATGTTTAAAGGTGAATAATATTTGTTAAGCATAATAAGTTCCATTTATTAAATTTAGACTTTTTATGTGGTTGTAAAGATTTTATAGATTTTCATTTAAAAAAAAAAAAAAAAAGGTTGAACCCCAACCTTAAGGGTCCCACACCGTCCCTACCCTGGAGCATCGTGAGGGGGGTAAATTGCAGGTTATGCCTCCAAGGGTATAAGGTGGAAGGCTGCTTGTACACTTGCACTTACCCAAGAGCCAAATCCATATTTCAGGATCAAACCTTTAACGCGGCAGCCTCAATCAAAGTTGGATTTCTCCACCTTCCCTTTTTACCACTTGGAGATATGCCCTGGAGGCAGATTTTCATTTAATATTTGTATTCAATCATCGAAATATTATGCTATACAGACCCCCGGTAAATAAAATAAAAAAGCATAAAAATTGAAGCAGTAGAAAATAACTCCACACCAGAAATTAATTAACAAAAGGTGCCAATGCTTATCCTAATAAAAGAAAATGTGTAACTTTTTCACGATAGATCAAGCAACAAAAAGAAATAATTACAAATTATTTTACGTTAACCTACTTTCGAACAACTACTATATAGGAATTTATTTACAAATTAATCAACTTGTTCATTAAATAGGAGAACCTTATAAATTTATTTAAATACATTATAGAAAAGTAAATGAAGACAATATTAATCTTTTTTTCATAAAAGAAATGTGAGGTTCATAGAAGAAAAATGAAAGAGAAGTATTGAAGATAGAGATAAGATCACAAATTGAAATACTTACATTTATTTTTATTTTTCCTCTTGCAAGTTTTCCAAATTCTTGGGTTGAGAAATTTTGAAATTTTGTACTTGCAATTTATGCTTAAAAGTTACAACATGGAATTTTAATATAATATTCGAAAGTTACTTTTCGACTTTGCAAATAAATGAACTCAATTAAAAGTTACAAAAGGAAGTGAAAAAAAAATTAAAAATGAAAGAAAATTATTTCAATCTATTCCCCGTCTAGATTAAAATTAACATAACATTTTGAGTAACAATGGGTGCATTAAATATGAATTAAACGCGAAAAAAACTATTAATATGCCTAAAAAACTTCTCAGAAATTCAATGAATAAACAAATTTTTAGATCAAATTTGATTTATTCCACAATATATGTTGGTCCACGACCAACAGTGATCAAAATTTTTATTAATCAATTAAGAAAATTTAAGCACTTTGACACTATTATTTCAACAGAAATATAAAATGCTCAATACAGGCACGCTAAATCAAACATTGAAAAAGTATTACGGTGAAATTAATACTGTCTTTTAAATTGTCAGAGTTTGGGGACATTATGTGGTATATGTAGCTAACCCTAAAGTCCAAATTACAATAATCTTCTATAAAAAGCCTCGAGTAATAGGGTAAAAGATGTTAGTAACTAAACTTTTAAAAGTCAACTAACTTTATTTTCCTTTAGACGGCTCACGGGATTTTGCATTTTATCTTAGATTTGTCACTCAATTAAATTCCATTAATTTTTCTGATGAAATGTTAGACATGGGAAAGCTCAACATCAACATCAACACCACATCATATTTCTTTTGCCACATCGACGTTATGTTAGAAAAATTAAGGAAATCTAATAGAGTAAGAAATCTTAAAGAAAAAGAAAATTTCAGTGTCTATTTCAAAATACAATAAAGTTCGATGACTACCATAAAACGTCTCTCGAGTTGAGTGATACTAGCATTTGTTCACCCTATTATTCTGAGATGATATAAATTAATATATAGGTTGTAGGTTATTGATTTCTGATTTTAGAGTTTGCTTTATATACATAAGTGTACCATACTTTGACAATTTCGTTATGCCTCATCACACGCGGTTCCACTTGATCGACCTATTGTAGCTATGGGCCTACTCAAATTGAAGCACACCGCATAGTGACTGAAGCCCTAAAGCCAAAGCGGAATGCAATGTGGCCGACACCTCAACCGAGGCTCAAGATCATAAAGTCCGAAGCCCAGTAGACTGAAGCGGTAGCCTTTGAAGCCCATGACGTCGAGGCCTCAGCCGAAGCCTCCGAAGCACGTTTCACCATCACTTCTTTCAAGAGATCCGCTTCTACACAGATACCTTATTCGAATGACTAATTAGACGTTTGTCATAGAGTGTAAGTATCAAATCTTGTCAGTAAAGTGGTAGCTCTACATGAATAATAAATGTATAGTAGGCTAGTAAGTCAAAAATGATACTTAAGATTAGATGTATGAACTAAGGAGATGACGCCGCATGTATTCCCATCCAAGGGCTACCATTTCACTTGTACCACTATAAATACTCCCACATGTAACACTTGTAAGACTAATGCAACATTGAATACAAAACAACACTCTTCACTTTATTCTCTCTTGCAAGACAACTGAGTTCACATTACATTGATTCAGTGCGATTGGTAATTATTGTACAATCATTCCACAAATGCATTGCCGATTCTGAATTATATCGTCTTGCATTGAAGGGTTGCTCCCACGCCCCGTTTCCAAAGCATTCTAGACTGTTGGTTTGTCTTAGCGTATTGAACTCGGTCTATGTGTACTGAGTGGGTCCGACAACTTTTGTTCGCTTGGCCCTAACTGAAAATGTTGACCTATGCTAGAGCATAA